GCAGCGCAAAGCGTCGATGGATGCATGTGAAGCAAGCTATGTGTCCACAAGACATGTGGGCCGCAGCACATAGAGGTTCCATGCAGACGGGGCACTCCAAGGCTTTCAACCACCGCCGCTTGTACTCCTTCTCCTCGGCGCAAGCAGCGACCCTACACACACCCGCCGACCGCGTCATCTGACTTTCCTGCCAGCCCCTCCCGGCCCCAGCGTCCAGGGCACCGATGATCGTTTCAGCCTCATCCTCGTCGTCGTCGTCCAGTAGCGAGACGACCTGGACCGGCCGCCTTCGTTTCCGCGCGCCCCTTGGAGGGACGGTCGCGGCCGACCGGACCTCCACAATCTCCACATCGCTGTTTCTGTCGCTCTCCTGGGCCACGCCCTCATGTTCGCCACCCGCTTCCTTCGCAGTACTCTCGGCCTCTACTTGACTCCTCTCCCCTCTTTCGAGGTGCTCGCTTTCGTTAGCTACGTCCAGTGACGCTGCGCCGTCTCCCTGCCTGCCAGGCTTATTGCAAGCGCCCCCCTGGTGTGCAGATGCTGCATCGGCTGACGACATGGTGCACACTGCTGGGGTGTCAGTCCAAGTTGAAGTGGCAGATATCGAAGAGGGAGAAGTCTCTTCCGCGTTCAAGGCGTCGCTTTCTCTGACGGCCGGAGAGTCACGGGCCCTGTCTGCTGGCAGGCAATCAACACGGAAGACGGCACCTCCTTTGCTCATGCTCCCGGATCCTGAGGAGCTGAGAGCCCCCACTGGATGATCGTGCGCCATGGGCAACCCCAAGACGACAACGTCACCTACCTTCAAAGTCCGAGGCGTCTGCGGGGGGATCCGCACGCCATTGACGGCGACCCCTTGCGAGGACTCGTCCACTATTTGCAGGGAGTTATCCGGCCCTTGGACAAGGCTGCAATGCTGCCGACTGATGCCGATGCCCATCAAGCTAACCCTTTTCGCGTAATTTAAGGTGCCTTGTGCCTGGCCACACGCACGCCCCATCGCCACAGGCAGCTCCGACAGGTCGACGGAGGGAGGCAAGGATTGGTTGCTCTTTAAGCATTCCTCTGCCAACAAGGTGAGACAAAATCGTAAAGGATGGGCTGTTATAGCGGAGTTTGTCACAGGCGCAGGTCCATCCAGACTGCGTTTGCCGGTGTCATTTTCCATCCAGTGTCGGCGTCGAAGTTACTTGTTCCCGGAAAATGTGGAGCTACCTGACACAAAAGTGCGGAAAGGACTGAAGTGACGTCCCTCCTCTCAAGCCACCGAAACGAAGTTGAGAACGTAGGTACAGCAGGGTTGCACAGAGCTTCATTTCCCACAAAAAAATAAAATGAGGATTAGTCATTCGAGCAAGTTGAGCTGAAAGCGTCGGCTGAGATCATGCTTCTTCATGAACCAATAGAAGATACGACACAAAATGCATTGTCATACTTCGCACACGACTACAACCGCACCAGCAGCGGACAAAAACCAGCCCTGAAAATGGCATTTTCGCCCGGACGCGGCCACGAGGGCAGGGAGTAACCCCCCTAAGCCTCGCCCTCTCCCTCCCGAGCGAGTCTCCATACTCTCGTGCCAGTCCCGCGTGACAGCGGCCGCGCTTTCTCGGGCCCTCGCTGCCCCTTTCTGACCGCTCTTCCTCTCGCATGTCCGCGCACGAAGGTCTGCAGTCGTCTGCTTGTCTGTTTGAATCACTCACTGGGCGCCAACCCCCCTCTCAGCAACTTCATCACCTCCATCCAGGCCCCCGGGACGGCAAGCAGGGATGGTAGCAGCATCAGAAAAGGCAAAGGGCCGCGTGCTGCTACCCAAAAATGTTGTTCCACTAAAGTACGACTTGACTTTAGACGTAGACCTTGACAAGTAAGTATTTTGACGGACAAGAAGCGGGAGGGAGGAGGCGAACAGGCAAAGTGGGAGACGGAGCAGGCTAGAATTTAGACACACTTGAATGCGGCCTGAGGGGACCAAAGGTGTTGCGATCGGAGCTGTCCTTGCAAGAAAAGTACCTGTCTTCAGATGCCTTGGTTATTGTGTGCTTGTTGACTACTATCCTTACTCCTACTTAGCGGTCTGTTTCCGCCTATGGCACGCATGCTCTACTCTCTTAAGGTTTATTTTTGACGGAAATGAGAAGGTGGAGTTGCAGGTCGTGGAAGAGACAGCCACGATTGTCTTGCACTCGAAGGAGCTCCTGATCAAGCATGTGACGTTTACACCCCAGGGAGGGAAGCCGATTGAGCTGATCGGCCTAGCGCACAACTTGAGGCACCACACACTCGCCTTCACCTTCGCCTCACCGCTGCCGGTGGGCTTGGGAGAGCTCCACGTTGTGTACCAGGGATCCCACAACAATCAAATGGCTGGCTTCTACCGCTCTGGATACACGGACATCGCGGGGAAGAGCAAGGTCATGGTCTCCACGCAGTTCGAGTCCCTGGATGCCCGGCGCGCCTTTCCCTGCTGGGACGAGCCCGGCGTGAAGGCTGTCTTCGAGGTGACGCTTGTTATCCCCAGGGCCCTCACCGCCTTTTCCAATATGCCCGAGGTGGAGTCGTCCGAACAGTCCGGGACGGGGAAGCGGGTGCTTCGGTACGCCCCCACACCCAAAATGTCCACCTACCTGCTGGCTTTCGTGGTAGGCGAATTCGACTTCGTGCAGGACATGACGAAGCACGGGGTAATGGTCCGGGTCTACACGCCGCCAGGCAAGGCGGAGGAGGGGCGCTTTGGGCTGCGCGTGGCCAAAGACACGTTGGACCTCTACGACGACTTCTTCGCGGTCCCCTACCCCCTCCCCAAGCTGGACATGGTGGCCATCCCCGAATTCGCCATGGGGGCGATGGAGAACTGGGGTTTAGTCACGTACCGGGAGGTGGACATCCTCATCAACGAGCACAAGGCGTCTTCGCAGCAGAAACAGCGCGTGGCGACCGTGGTGGCGCACGAGCTGGCGCATCAGTGGTTCGGGAACCTGGTCACCATGCAGTGGTGGGACGACCTATGGCTGAACGAGGGATTTGCCTCCTGGACGGAGAACTACGCCACCGACATCCTTTTCCCCGACTGGCTCATGTGGGAACAATTCACCATAGACGCTCAGAACGCTGCCCTCAACTTGGACTCTCTCCGAACGTCGCACCCAATTCAAGTCCCCATAGCCCACGCGGAGGAGGTGGAGCAGGTATTCGACGCCATCTCTTACTGCAAAGGCGCCTCCGTCGTGCGCATGCTGCACGCCGTGCTCGGGCCTGCGGATTTCAAGCGGGGACTACAACTCTACATGCAGCGGCACCAGTATTCGAACACGGAGACCTTCGATCTCTGGAACGCGTGGGAGAAGGTGTCGGGCAAGCCAATCGGGCAGATGATGGCCTCCTGGACGGAGCAGATGGGGTACCCGATCGTGCGTGTCGAACAGGCGGATCTGACGGACGGCAAGGCCTATCTGACGGTCAGCCAGTCTTGGTTCCTTGTGGAAGGGGCCTTGTCCAAGGAGGAAGAGAGCAAACTGTGGACCGTTCCCCTCCTTTACGGCACGGCAGCCTCCGTCAACGGCTCCACTGGAGTTCGACCCGACCTCCAAATCCTGACCTTCAAGACGGACACGATCGAGGTCCCTTTGAGGGGTCCCAACGATTGGGTGAAGCTGAACCTCGGGCAGCACGCACCTTTACGCGTCCTCTACCCCCCTCGTCTTGTTGGCCCGCCTGGCCGCTGGTGTTCGGGACAAGACGTTGCCCGCGACCGACCGGGCGGGCCTGCTCATGGATTGTTTCAATTTGACGAAGAAGGGAGAAATTCCGGCAACCCAGCTCCTGACACTTATCAAGGCATACGAGCAGGAAGACAACAGTACGGTTTGGGAGGCCTTGGCCCAAGTACTCACGGCGCTCGACAAGCTGCTGATCCAAGCTCCCGAAATTCGGAAGCGCTTTGGCCACTTCGCGTCGTCCCTGGTCAAGCCAGCCGCTCTCAAGGTGGGCTGGGACCCACGCAGCGATGACGGGCACTTGGGAAAGCTGCTGCGAGCCACTCTTATCAACCTCCTCTCTCTCTTCTGCTGGTCAGAACCGGAAGTGCTCGGCGAGGCCCGCCGGCGGTTCGAGGCTATTCTCCTCAACCCCTTAGACGTGGCGACCCTGCCCACAGAGTACAAAGTACCAGTCCTGAGCATGGTCCTCAAGGCCGGACATCAGTACGAGTTCGATCAGGTAATGCGTCTTTACCGGGATGCCCCCTCCAACGTGGAAAAGAAACAGGTCTATAATGCCATCGGAGCCACGTCGGACCCCAAGCTCAAACGCCGCGTCCTTGATTGGGCCCTGCAGGACATCAAGCTGCAGGATTTTTTCTATCCCATTGGCTCCGTCTCCAGCTCCTCTCATGAAGGCCTGGAGCTGGCCTGGGACTTCTTCAAATTGAACTTGCCACAGCTCAAGGCGAAACTGGCGACTGCCTCCTCCTCTCTCATGGACGCTGTCATAGTCTACTCGTGCGGGAGCTTTTCCACCGCCGAGAAGGCTGACGAAATAGAGACATTTTTCCGAGAAAACCCTTTGCCCTCTTCACAACGCAAGATTGCGCAGACTCTAGAGAGGATACGCATCAACGCCCGCTTTCTGGATCGCCTCCGCAGTGAAATTGGAAATTCGGCGTTTTGGAAAAAGCTTGCGGGCGAAGTGTAAAGTTATGTGAAAGATTATTCGTTGTCTGGGCTAGAAGGCAGCTGCTAAAGATTTCGGTGGCAAGTTTCAATAGTGATAGGAGAGGGTAAAGGGCACAGATGGACTGGGATGTTTTTGTCGTAGGTAACGGTTCAGGCGAATGTTGTCGTGAAGGAAGATGATCATGTTGCAACAAAAGACTCCATTTAAGAAACAGATAAGCTGCGTCCGTGCAGTTCAATATGAGATGTGTGTCTGCATCTTCACGGCATGGTAAAAAGAATTATCAAGCCGCGCAAGGAGTATTTGCCCTAGCGAGGTCGAAGAAGTAGATATCTGGCGTCAGAGTACTTTTACCTCGTACCTTGTATACGCTTAAAAAATTGTTATATAATCTCTCTACTTTTACATGTTCCGTCTTCATATTGAGGTTGATGTGATCAATCAGCGACACCCCCCTTGTACATTCGAAATACTATCGTACACACGTTCTCCGGCATGTTCGATTGCGCCTTCACCAACCTCCATTTCGTGACCGGACACATCTCCCCCTTACTCAACCATGCGAATTAGCATTTCTTCTTCCTCCGCTACTATCCCCTCGCCATCGTCAATCTGAGGCCGTGCTCCATCTTGACGGCTATCGGGGACGCGCTGAGCATTGCACTGCAGCTCATCCACCAAGGCCTGACGCCTAATTCCCCAAAACCGCGGCAAATTTGTCGATTCCTCTCTATTTACTTCGCAGCAAGTGAACAGCCATCCCAGATGTAGGCTGCAGCGCCTACAGTAAGCAATCGTCCATGCGTAGCCTTCGAACCATGAGCCCTCCGTTTCAATCGGTCCCTCCAAAGCTACGTTCTCCTCTTCATCGAGCACCTCTCTGACCGTAAGCATCTGATGCACAACACCTGCCGGATTGCTATAGGCCCCAACAGTCCCCTCTGCGCCAGGAACACTGAAAAGCGCTCCTTTGCCAACTAAGGCTACCTCGCAATGAGCGCAGCAGAGCTTGCTCTCTGCCGTATTCTTCAGCAATAAGATGATATTTTGAAGGCGATAAACCACTGAGTCCATCGCTAAGAGACGCTGACGTGTAATGTCATCAAGTGGCAAACTAGCTGCCAAGCGAAATGACAAAGACACCGCATCCCTCATTTCCACTGGAGCTCCCTCTTCTTCGTCAGCCCCCTCGCGACCCCGCTCCTCTCCATCCAAGCAGTCACTAGAGAATCCGGCAATACGACAGAGTTCAAAGCCTGTAGCACATCGGACACCCTGCCAAGACTCAATAGAATGAAGTATTTGTTTGACTTTTCCAAGCAGGCAAGCGGGAGACAGTAGACCCATTATAGTAGTGGGCCAATAGGTACATTGATGCAACTTACTCCTTTGCCACTGAGGCAACCTGGGATATGCACTTACACATTCGTCTGAAAGAATAAGAACACGCACATGCGGAATGCCTTGGCGCATTTCCATGTTCCCCCCCCTCGCAGCGTCCAGTACTCTAAATCGTTGACGTCCCTTGGCCTTTGCCGTGAGCGGCGAGGACCCGTCCCAATCTGATTCGACCTCGAACATCTCACACGTGCAACCCACTACTGCATCCTCCATTAAAGAGCGCCTTCGAGCATTAAGGATGCCGAGGTAAGCTGGTTGTCCGCGTCGTTGAGAAAAGGCTAAAAGAAGGAGGAGACGTACATGGTGCAGCTCCCAGACGCGCAGAGGAAGATTTTCTCCGGGAAAGAGCACTACATGTGGCAAAACTAATATTGGCAGTTCCACTTCCGTATTCGATGGTAATAACTGGGATCTGGCCAAGCTTTCCATGTTCGCGACACCAAAACATGCTAGAGTGACAACCATTTCGAAAATTGAGGAGGGAGGTTGAGTTTCCAAACCACAAGCCGGAGGCATGGGGCATAGATGTGGAGCCCCTCGCACCAAACCGTGTAGACACTGTCCATCCATGAAGGTTCAGAGGCAGGCCGTGGAATTGCCTACGGCCAGAGACTGCGATTGACCACACCTCTGACGTCGGAGCATCGTCCGCGCAACGATACGCATGCACCAGGCTGGAGAGGCAACTGGGGAGGTCGGATCGTGAATCCCGAAGTGTGAGGTATTAAATAGCAGGAATATGTGTTTCTTTCATTCTACTCCTTCCTCTTTCATTCTACTCCTTCACACAGGCCTGATTGGGTGGGTGGAGTTGCATGTGGGAGCCTTTACTTGTCTTCTTAATGTTTTGTAGGAGCTCCCAGGCCTTCACCAACAGGATGCATTCGACCCGTCGTAGCCCTCTGGGCATTGTTCACACTTTTAGTGGGATGGACATCGATCGAAGCCGAGTCGAAGCAGAGCTTAAGGAGGCCAGTGCCTTTCAAAACGCCTTGAGAAGTCATGGAGCGGGTAAGATTTTGTGGTAGGCATGCAGGGATGAAATGGGGAGACACTTCTCCACGTCCGTCAAAATATAGCCCTATGCTCTCGTTCCACTTAGTCATGTATTTTTCTTACTTGTTAACAGCATTTGCTTTGTTTCATGGAACATCAGCCCTGGTGATCACCGATTCTCCAATGAAATTAGCGTTTCACGATGCTGAAAAGCTTCAAACTTTGTATGAGATATCTCTCCAACAATTTGAGCACTCGTTAACTTGCATCAGCAATGATGTTGGAAATTACATTCCTATATATCCATGTATTGCGCTGGGTGCCTCAGCATCTGGGTGGGCGTTCGCTGTAGACGTATCAAATCGGTCGAGAAACGAATTTGAGGTCAAGAACGAGGCAGAGGGTAATCTTCGCTTTGAGCCGGTGCGAGCGCTGCTGGCTACATTGAATCAAAGAGATATCGCGATGGCAGGGCTAGGGGCATCTACATTAGCTTGGCATCGGCAGCATCGGTTCTGTGGACTGTGTGGAAGTCGTATGGTGGCTGTCGAGGCTGGCGGGCGACGGGCGTGCACGAGCGAGACGTGTCGCAACCGTGCCTACCCTCGCGTGGATCCTGTTGTCATTGCGCTCGTTCAGGACCCCGTCCGAGACAAGATATTGCTGGGTCGTCAGAGTGTATACCGCCCTATGATGTACAGTTGTTTGGCTGGATATGTGGGTCCTTGCGAGAGCTTGGAAGAGGCGGTGCGCCGAGAAGTGAAGGAAGAGTCCGGAATCGATGTGGGAGAGATGAGTTACCATAGCTCTCAACCATGGCCGATCGGTCGTGGGGCCTCGTGTCAGATGATGGTAGGCTTCACAGCCACCGCAACGAGCACCGAGATCCATATCGACACAAACGAACTAGAGGACTGCAGATGGTTTTCCCGTGCCGAGGTTGCGGAGGCAGAGGAACTGGTTGTGGCGAGAAGGCCAGGTCCCTCTGATGAGAGCTCGAAAACGTTAAGTATCCCAGGGCCTTACGCAATTGCGCATCATCTTATTAAGAACTGGCTCTCCACGACAAAAGCACCGCTCCAAGCGTCCGGGAGAAATAAATTATAAGAGTCATCAATTACATAATCCTCTCACTCTAAAGAGTGACATTCTTTATGGCTAGCATCTCCTCATCGTTTTTCGCCTTATTTTTCGTTGTCTTCATTATGTTGTGACACTGCGTTCTGGGTGTCGTACACTTACTCGCTTCTCGCCATTCTACTGATATTGTCTTCTTAAATCCTTTTCATGACTTTTTCAGCTCCTTACACGTTTAATTACCGCTTTGTAGATTTAAGTGTTCTACGCCACAATCTTGTCAAAGAGCCGGTCAGGTATGATTTCCTTCACGCGAATGGCAGCCCAGGTAGGTATGGACATAAAATTTGTTGTGGTATAGCGCGTCTTAGGTCGGGCGTCTGTCAGAGCTGCCAGGATCTTGTGAGCGGGCTGGGATACATGTCCTGCCATTTCAATGCCCTTTTTAAAAATTGAGAAATATTTGCTAGTGTAATAACGGGGGTAGGTTCGCGCCGCCAAGGTCGAATTGCCTACTTCTTCTGATTCAAGGATTTTAGATAAAATAGGCGTTAAGACAAATCCAGGTTCCACTAGGCTAACAGAACATTCGTAAGGAAGGAGTTCTTGCCGCAAAGCGTCCCCGATCGCCTCCATGCCAACTTTAGTAGCTGAGTATATTCCCTCCTTTGGTTGCGTTATGCGCCCGGCAAGCGACGAAGTAAAGACAATGCGTCCCTTGTCGCGGCGGATAAGCGGAAGTAGTTTTTGTGTTAGCGCCAGAGGACCAAGAAGATTTGTTTCGAACATGTCGCGCACATCGTTCATATCGTGGTGCTCAAGGGGCATGTGGTATCCTCTTCCACAATTATTAACCAAGCCGGAAAATCTCAAGTTGCTGCGCTCCCGCAGGTAATTTTCGACCTCATTAGTTGCATCATCAATATTCTTTTTGCTTCTCACGTCAAGCATTACAGGGATCACATTGTAGGATCCTTGATGACGATCAACAAACCCTCTCCATTTATTGAAGTCCTCTTGCCGTCGCACTCCTGCGAAGACATGATATCCTTTGTTGGCCAACAAAGTGACTACCTCGCGCCCAATCCCGGAAGAGGTTCCTATGGAGAGAAATACAGGTCAGCACTCATCGGAACCTGTGCTGTGATCTTTGCGATTTGTGCTTCATCAGCGCATTCATATGAATCTAATTCATATTGCTCTTCAACTTCACCTGTTACAAGAACAACTCCTGTACTGGGAATAGGGTAAGTTGAGCTAAGAAAATGCCGCATAAAAACGGCTATTACTGCAATCATAGCTGCTCCCCCAAAAATAATGTTCCGCGTGGGGGAATTTTTCCACGCACGTAAAGCCGCACTCCTTATTGTAGTAGTCATATGCTGCAATTTCGGTATTGTAGAAGACTTGCTAGCCCGGCGCGGGGCAGCGTAATTGCGACGTGGGGGCATTTCTCGTGCTCTGTATTGTTTGCTAAAAGGTACAATGGTGGACGTAGACGGCTGACCACGTTTTTTGCTTGGTTTTTCACCTTGACATCTTAATCCTGATCCTTATGCTTCATTCATGGAAAAGCTAAGAAGGGAAATGTTCTACGAATGCTCCCTCGAACGTGTTTTTACGCAACTGGCCCGGCTGGAAATTTCTCGGCGGGGAGGTTGATCAACGGCTCGGATCGGTTGGCGGCGTGGGCCCTCGCCCAAACGTCTGCCCGGCCTTCAACCTTCTCCCTGGCCCGGACATGTTGCGCTCCCTGTCTCATATCATGAGGCACTGCCACCCTGCAGGTTTCATCGCGTCTTGGAAACAGCCACATCACCTGTCTCCTTGTCGTCTCTCAAATTGAACGCCCTCATCGTGCGGCGAGGCTGTCTAAGAGCTCCACGAGAGCGAAGGGTAAAAAGTTCGAGGCCGATCATCATCGACCTGACAGTCATAGGACAGCTCTTTCTGGTCATACTTAACGTGCTGCGAGGATGAGCTCAATTTTGAGGCGCAATACTTTATCAACAGGTAGGCTTTTTATTCGATAGCAGGAAGTGATGGAGTTTATTGGGGGGAATTTTCTTAGCAATGCGGTAAATAAAAAACTGACCACTTCCTGCTTTCAACATGATAAATCAGAAAAGCAATACCTATGGCGGGACCCGGTCTTCGTAGACATTTTCGGTGCAGAGTTTTTCCCCCCACAGTACACAATCCAGAGCCGTCTGCTCGGTCTGGACGGCGTGGGTCGTTCTCTAGACCTGATATTGCGGGTAAGAGCAGAGAATTGCGAGCTGTTCCTGTGCACATGAATGCCTAAATTAACAATTTATGGAGCACTTGTTCGTTGGCTGCCCATGAAAAGTTTCTACCCTTGTCCGCAATTGCTGTATGCCAATCGTCTTATTTTCCTTCTCGCAAAGGGGCTCTCGGATGCCATGTTAGCTAGCGATGAAGCCGCGAAGGAAGCGTTTCAGTCCTCACATGATGCTCTGAGTGACGTGGGAGCTTGTCTTCGAAGCCTTCCTGCTGAGGCCGGATCCAGCAACAACGGAAGCTTGTACACCCTGTTGGAAGTCCTGGTGGACAAGGTACGCTTTATGCGGCCCGGTCGAGTTTTAGCTGTCCCCACGGGTTGGCGCACAGACCCCTGCGGCAACCTGCATCCGATCCTGATGGCGCTACAGCGCCAGGCAGGAGCGGGCGCTTTTACCTTGTCCGTAGTAAATGCCGGTCCGGACGGGCTGGAGTACCATCCTACAAAACCCGACCCCCTATCAGCGCGCATGCTTTACAGCACATCAATTCGTTGTGCTGATATCCCTGCAAGTAGATTGGAGGACGCGGCCTTCTGGTACATGGCATTTAAGCTTCTATTGGACAAGAGCTATGGAGAAGGCGGCAAGGTGGTGCTGTACGAGCGCCTGCTTTCCTTCTTGAACGGCAAAACCCTCCTGGCAAATGTGAAGGAGGAAGACTGTGACTGGGCGCCTTGCCACCCGGATAGTGGGAAATTTAGTCCCGGCGCACTTTTAATCGAGGGCGTCCGGCACATTGCTCGTCTTTGCGGGCTGGACCATTTGCAAGCTAAGTATGTGGTCCTTCTGCTAAAGTATAAAATCTGTCGCCTAATTGAGCTTGATCTGGGCACGGCCGAACGGTTGAATGACTCGGACCTGACGATAATCCGGATAGCTTGTCGGCAGGTGGCAGCGCTTGCCTCGGAAGTTACGGCAGAGGGGGGGTACGTGCGAAGCCAGCAGCTTTTTGAAATAAAGCAGGCGCTGAAAGCGATGGAAGATCGCATTAAGGGGATGACTCACACTACTGGCATGACTTTACCAGCCGAGGTCTCCATGACGAGTACCCCCACCATTCCTTGGGCAGCATGCT